GATCCTTACTATTGTCATTTTCCAATACTTCTTTTGTATGTTTGTCACTCCCTTGTGACCTCTATTTTGGGGTGCCTTGATAGTCGAAGCAGACCTTGTGCTGTTGAAGCTAGAGAGGTGAGCAGTCTAAGTCTGATTCCCTGTAAAGACTTCTCTATTGGCGTCCACCCCTTGGCGCTCATATGATCTTATGCCGTTGCGAGCGCCGTAAAACCCTCTACTATATACAAAAAAATCGACACTAGGGTCAAAGTTATAGATTTTCTATTAATGCCATATTCTTAAAGTACAACATGCCTTTTAATAAATTTGTAAAGACGTCACCTATAAACGTGATGTCTTTACTTCCATAGAGCTCAAATCCGAGAAGTATCTTACTTTGTCAGCACGCTTCACATATTTAAAACTAAAGTAGTAAAGTATCTCCATCCCCACCCCCTTTTCACCCTCCCTTCGCCTTTCTCCTCCTCTTGTCATTACACACATCGATGATCACCGCATGCTTCTGTCGTCGTCACCTCCCCCCTCCCCCCCCCCGGGGGCAGTGCTACAGACTGAAGTGTCTTAAGGCCATTTTCCGCCTTTGTCCGAGAAGGCTATCTTTTCGATTTTACCTACCCTAAGACCAGGGGTGTGGCTGAAAGACAGTAGTAGTAAGAAGGAACCGAGAAGTAGCAGTAGAACGGCTGCAGAAAGAGTCAGGAGCCCAGAGGAGGGGGCAAAGGGGAGGGAGGAGGGGACAGAAAGTGGAGACCAAAGCAGACGACAGAACATGGTTAGAGAACAAGAAAGGAGGTGAAAGGATAACATTTTAGAGAAGACAATTTTCTGTCCCTGTCCGGATTCGAACCCGGGGCCTGTTGAATGAGAGGCAAAACCCATTACCTCTCGAACACGAGAGCCCCCTTTATCTTTCCTTCTTTTCTTTGTATCGTGTTACCGGAGATGACTAGTGAGGTTCTAATCTTCGACACTTACATGACCTATGTGTGTTAGTAGTTCCGTAAAACTCTTACCCCCCCCCCCCAACTAAAACAAAACGGAACAAAACAGGATGGGGGGGTCCAAGTTTAATTTTAGTAAGAGTTTTATGGTATTTGCAACACAATCAGATCATACAAGTAGGCTACATTGTATAAGTGCTGAAGAGTAGAGGTGTTACAATAGAGTACAGATCATCAGATATTTGATCATTGATAGGAATGAAGGAACAAACCACAACAGAGTACCCACCAACCACCCACAAGTTTACTATTACCCCAAGGAGGTTATACTGTAAGGTTGTTGTGAGGTCCTTGTGTTGCCCCTCCCCCCCATAACGCCTACCACGAGATTGTCCAGTGTGATGACGGCCGTGTCCGGGTCACTGAACACCTTGAAGGCTTTCTGCACGTCGTCTTTCGTGTCATTGCCCAGCATCTTCTCCTGCATCAGCTGGTAAAAACTTTTGAAGTCTATGTTCTCTTTACTGTCCGTGCCAAGGACTTTTTCTGTGGAAGGCAATGGTGGGTGGGGGTGGGTGAGGGGAAATGGTTGGGGGGGTGGGGGTGGGGTGGGGGGCGGGGGGGGGGGGGGGGGAATACAGGGAATTATAGGCGACTTCCAGGTTGAGGGAACCATAGATACGGGGTGCATGGAAGCGAAACCAATAAATTGGAAAAAAGAATATTTTAATCCCCCAAACAGGAAAAAGAGTCTAAAACAGCACCTGGATATGGATTGCTGGTGCCTCTATAAATAAATTATTGATGGTCACAGTAGGCCTACTTTGTGGGGATGGCTGGTCCTCTATGAATAAATTATTGACGACAATGATTCCGTTTTTTATCAAATAATTATAGATCTAGATAGTGAGTGCATAAAGGTAGAACCAAATTTTTTAGACGAAAATAATACATGTAATTAGTGATTAATCTACAGACAGGAGAAAGGTCAAAACAGCACCTGGACATTGATGACCGGTGCCTCTTTAAATGAATTATTGATGGTCAGGTCAGGGGTTACTTTGTGGGAGGCTGAAGCTTTTGAAGTAATTATTGAGGAGTGATTGTTCTCTTTGTCATCCAGGGGCGACAGACCCCGGGGAAATTTTTTCAAATGAGAGGAGAGGGGACTTTTTTGGGGGGCGCGCGGGGCCCTCAAAAAAAAAAATTATTGGATGGGTGTCCTTGCGGGGGGGCTGGGGTGGGGTGTGGGCCCCAAACGTCTCGGCTCCACCTCTAACATGTAAAATAAAAAATAAATCTCTCTCTCCTCTCTCGCCCTTCTGTCCAGTGTGGCAAAACAAAAAACGAGTACAAGTACCCCCCCCGCCCTCTCTTTCTCTCTCTCTCTCTCTCTCTCTCTCTCTCTCTCTTTCTCCCCCCCCCTCTCACTCACACACTCTCTCTCTCTCTCTCTCTCTCTCTCTCTCTCTCTCTCACTCTCTCTCTCTCTTTCTCTTTCTCCCCCCCTCTCTCTCACTCTCTCTCTCTCGCTCTCTCTCTCTCTCTCTCTCTCTCTCTCTCTCTCTCTCTCTCTCTCTCTTGGTATGTTATTCTCTTGTAACACCTCTAATCCCCGGTACTTGTACGACCTACCTGTTTTCCAAGTGCTGTAAAACTCTTACTAAAACTAACTAAACAAGAGTTTTTCTGCTTTTGCCGCACAAATCGGCCATATAATAAGACAAAGTGACGAGCATTGGAGTTGTTACTGGAGAATAACATACAAAGAAAAGGATGAGAGAAGGACGATAGATAGCTTATTTGATATTGATCATTGATAGGAAAGAAGGCGCAAACCACACACAAGCACCCACCAGCCACCCACAAGATTAGTGTTGTGTTCATAGAATTGAACCGGTAGAAGATAACAGATAGCAGGCGAATACTTAAAATACCAAGTAAGGACTCACATTGAATAAAAGGGTTAATAAACGAGAAGAAGGTGTGTGGAGGAGAGGATGGAAAGTCAGTTGAAGAGAATGAGGAGGTGGGTGAGAAGAAGAAGAAGAAGAAGAAGAAGAAGAAGAAGAAGAAGAAGAAGAAGAAGAAGAAGAAGAAGAAGAAGAAGAAGAAGAAGAAGAAGAAGAAGAAGAAGAAGAAGAAGAAGAAGAAGAAGAAGAAGAAGAAGAAAAAGAAGAAGAAGAAGAAGAAGAAGAAGAAGAAGAAGAAAAAGAAGAAGAAGAAGAAGAATTTAAGGGGGACGATGCTGAGGAGGAGGTCCGAGCTGAGGAAGGGGGGAGGAAAGTCGTAAGAAGCCTTAAACCTTTATTTTTGTGTAACGTCATAGTTCTGTAATAATTTTCAGGAAGCGAAAAATAGTACATATATATATATACCTGTAGTAAATCATAGTTCACTACTTCAGAATTATAAAGTTCGATCTGATATTTTTGGCCGTTTTGAGTTACGAAGACCTTGAGGTAAGAAACCAAAATGTTCTATTTGCTCTAGATATCTATCAAAATCGTAAGATTATTTGGAATCGTTATCAAGATATAAGAATTGCAGTCGAAAAAGCTTGACGTATTGTTGTGAAGCTCAAAATTTTTGTCGTCAAATTTCTCAAAACTAGATACTGAGCAGATAGAACTTTGTAATTCTGAGGTAGCGACTTGTAGCCTACTTTGCTAGTATAAATGAATTACAACATTCAGACTTAGACTCGTCCGCACCGGCGTCTTTGGTGAAACAGGTTCCACCAGCTCAAAACTCGAACAGACTAGACCTTTATTGCGTCCTCACAAATACACCAACACCGAAACAAAATAATATAGAAACGGACGGAACCCATGTTTTGTTTGTTTTAGTAAAGAGAAGTACATCGACACAATGATGATCATTTGGTGCTGAGAAATGGGAAGACAGACAGACAGACAGACAGACAGACAGACAGACAGACAGACAGACAGACAGACAGACAGACAGACAGACAGACAGACAGATAGACAGGCAGACAGAAGGAAAGTAAAGAAATATGACCTCAAAAGTGTCACCCTCCAATCACCCGCAAGGACGTAACTCAGAGCAGAGAAAGAGGAGACAGTCACTCACTTATCATATTGTCCACTTGCTCGAAGGTGGGCTCGTATGTCATGGCTCTCAGAGCCAGGATGAATCCTCTCGAGTCGATGATCCCTTTTCCCCGCGGGTCGAAAGTCCCGAAAGCGTCACACAGCTCAATCTTCTGCTTGGGCGTCAGTTCAGGACGCAGTCCGTACCTCTTTGGGGGCAGCTCGATCTCCTCATCCGAGTCTGAGTCGCCACTGATGCTGGTCCGAGTCCCCAGTGTGATGGACTTATGTCTATCACTAGATCTAGTCATTGCGATACTCGCCATGGTAGCTCTGAGACTGAGTGACTTTAGACTCGAAAGCACTGGAAGATTATCAAATCTGAATGGGACTGAATGCGTGCAGCACCGTAATAGATATTTACAGTTTGCAAAGAAATATGATTGCGGCGTTCATTGTCTGTGCAAAGGTGGGAACACACGGCAATTCACGAATATCCAAAACATGCATTTCTTTGAGAAGGCGTGCGTTTAGAGGTAGATCTATTTGTTTGAAAAAAAAAATCCAAAGTCTAGATATCTAAATAAAAATAGAGGATGAGAACTGAATTTCAGCTATCTTCCTCTGAGTTTTAGCTTTTGTATCATTTAATGGCACTTGCAATACAAATAAGTCATGTTTGTGCCAAAGATTAAAGGTGTTACTAGAGAATAACATGCAAAGAAAAAGAAGAGAGGTAATGATGACAGGTGTGCCTTGGGAAAGAAGGAGCCAACCACATCCTCCAACACGAACATAGGGGGAAAAAAAGTACCCCGATGCTGCCAAACCTGGCCACGATTCAGGTAGCTGTGCAAGAAAGATCTATAAAATGGTACATGATGGACTTGATTCATTGTAATTGTATGCACCAAGAGCTTACTATCTGCCTGCACTGCTGCCATCTTTTATTCTCCCCCTCCCACTCTTGTTGTTGCCCCCCCCCCCTCAGCCAAAATTGCAATCCCATCCCCTCTCATCATTTGACCTCCCGAGTGTGAGACACTCCTAAATACATGACTCCGTCCTTCATGCTGTCCCCCTCTGAGTATATGACTCCGCACCTTTCGTTATCCCCTTGAGACTGTGACTCCGCCCTTTTCGTTATCCCCTTGAGACTGCGACTCCGCCCTTTTCATTATCCCCTTGAGACTGTGACCCCGCCCTTTTCATTATCCTCTTGAGACTGTGACCCCGCCCTTTTCATTATCCTCTTGAGACTGTGACCCCGCCCTTTTCATTATCCTCTTGAGACTGTGACCCCGCCCTTTTCATTATCCTCTTGAGACTGCAACTCCGCCCTTTTCGTTATCCCTCTGAGACTTTGACTCCGCCCTTTTCGTTATTCCTTTGAGACTGTGACACCGCCCCACATGCTGACCTCCAATGAGTGTATGACTCCGCTCTTCTCATTGACCCCTTGAGTATGTCGCAATGTGATCCACCCTTCCAGTTGTCCCCCTGAGTATGTTTGATGAATCTGCTTTTGTCATCTTCCTCCTTTCATGCTGTCCCCCTATGAGTACGTGACTCCACCTCTCATGCTGTCCCCTATGAGTACGTGACTCCACCTCTCATGATGTCCCCCTATGACATGAGTACGTGTCTCCGCCTCTCATGATGTCCCCCTATGAAATGAGTACGTGACTCCGCCCCTCATGCTGTCCCCTATGAGTATGTGACTCCACCTCTCATGTTGTCCCCTATGAGTATGTGACTCCGCTCTCATGATGTCCCCTATGAGTATGTGACTCCGCCTCTCATGATGTCCCCTATGAGTACGTGACTCCGCCTCTCATGATGTCCCCTATGAGTACGTGACTCCGCCTCTCATGCTGTCCCCTATGAGTACGTGACTCCGCCTCTCATGCTGTCCCCCTATGACACGAGTATGTGACTCCACCTCTTATGCTGTCCCCTATGAGTATGTAACTCCGCCTCTCATGCTGCCCCCCTATGACATAAGTACGTGACTCCACCTCTCATGCTGTCCCCCTATGAGATAAATACGCGACTCTGCCTCTCATGCTGTCCCCCTATGACATGAGTATGTGTCTCCGCCTCTCATGCTGTACCCCTATGACATAAGTACCTGACTCCACCTCTCAATCTCATGCTGTCCCCTATGAGTACGTGACTCCACCTCTCATGCTGTTTCCCTTTGACATGAGTACGTGGCTCCGCCTCTCATGGTGTCCCCTATGAGTACGTGACTCCGCCTCTCATCCTGTCCCCCTATGACATGAGTACGTGACTCCACCTCTCATCCTGTCCCCCTTTGACATGAGTACGTGACTCCGCCTTTCATGCTGTCCCCTATGAGTACGTGACTCCATCTCTCATGCTCCCCCCTATGAGTATATGACTCCGCCTCTCATGCTGCCTATGACATTAGTATGCGACTCCACCTCTCATGATGTCCCCCTAAGACATGAGAACTTGACTGCTGTTTCTCTAAGTTAAGAACGAGCCGTTCCTCTCTATACGAGTATGAGTATGTCACTCCACCCTTCATGCTGTCTCTCTATGTGGGTGGTAGGCAGGTGCTCTGGTGTGGTTTGTTTCTTCTCTCCTATCAAACGTCTATCGTCTTTATCTCCCCTTCTTCTCTTTTGTGTTTGTTACTCTCTTGTAACACCTCAAGTCTTCGGCACTTATATGACCTTATTGTGATGGAAGTGCCGTAAAACACTTACTAAAACAAAACATGTCTCTCTCTTTGAGTCAGTAACTCCACACCTCATGCTGTCTGTCACCCTGTGAAGAGTAAGCCTTGGTCTCCCAGTGGGTTGGGGGAGAGGTGACAAATGAATCTTCAGAACATTAGTCGGAAGTAGATTGAACACTATCATGTTGAAAAACACATTAACTGCATAATCCCATATTTAGAAATTAGACACGAACAAGTAAAGTGTAATTTCGATTTTCTTTAATGGCTCTTCCGCACGCACCGTGGGAAAGAAAATCATAAATATATTATTTCAAAATATTTTTGTTTAATAAAATCAAGACCCACAAAACAAAACAATCATAAAAAGGGCATGACAGAAATCTGGTTGCAATAAAAATAAACTCAGTCACTCCAAACTACATTCTCCACCAATAGACACAATGCTTTACATAACAACATTCTCCACCAACAGACACAGTGCTTTACATAACAACATTCTCCACCAACAGACACAGTGCTTTACATAACAACATTCTCCACCAACAGACACAGTGCTTTACATAATAACATTTTCCACCATCAGACACAGTGCTTTACATAACAACATTCTCCACCAACAGACACAGTGCTTTACATAACTACATCCTCCACCAACAGACACAGTGCTTTACATAACAACATGTGGGCGGCCTGCTGTTCACATGTACTAAGCCCAAAATTTAGAAATTCTTTTTTAAAGTTAAAGCCAGTTACTTAACCTGTGGTATTGGCAGCATGAGTGCTAAAAAAAATATTAAATTAAATTTCAAATTTTAGATGTTGAAAAAAGCAACAACCCCCCCCCCCCCCAAACAAACACCAAAACCAACAACAACAAAAACCCAACAAACAATAACATAACGTAAGATTGTTAACAGAATGAAATAATTTTTCTCTCTCACACTGAATTTTTTTTTCTTCTGAGCTTAGTACATTTGAACAGCTTGCTGAACATGCACATCAACAATATGGTAACTGATTAAACTATTATATCACATGGTTTACTCACCACTTCCTACAACATAATCAGATATCTTTGTGGATCTTACATCCCTCCCGACTTGTGTCTAATCTACTATAACTATCTATTCTATAGTTTCTGCTTTACACGGAAGATCCACAAAGTGGATGAGATGGTATCCAGGAAACCTCATAAGTCTTCAAACCACTATACAGTAAACTTTGTTCAACATGAAATCCCTGAAACTATGAAAGGATTTCAAATCCACATTCTTATTCCTCTACTATAACATGAAATCTGCTTAACACAAGATCAAGAAGAAATTCTCAGGTCCTGTGAGTGTCATGTTATTAGGGTTTTACAGTATACAATATTTCTGGAGCCTCGTACATTCTGTAAAAATATATCTTAGAGGAGAATTTCAGTAGTCACTTATCAAATAAAACATTTGCCTAAAGAACCACTGTAACTTGTAATATACAAAAATTACACTAAGAGACACACTCTCCGCTTTTCCCAAATTCTTACTGCGAACTAGAGACCTCCTGAACACCCTGGTTTATCCCCGACAAGCACATACAGTAAACATATAGATCTATATTAAAAGACGCTTTCACCAGCCTATTATTCTGACAAAATCCAAAAGTAAATATGGCTGAACAAATTTCAGATGAAATTAAAGCTGTCAACCAGTTGATCTAACATAAGTAGCGATGAAGGATAAAAAAAAAGTAGAGGACAGGATAGTCCACCTAAAAATAACTGGTACATTTGTACATCCACTACAAGTACAAGTATTATAAATTCTATTCTTGAAAAAAGAAATAAGGTGAAATGCAAGTTCAGCTCTACTGAAATATTTATTAGCTATCACGTTTTATATGTTTTTACCGTGGAGAGCACAGTAAGTCATAAACCTTTTAAAACATTAACTGCTACGCTACTGCACTCTACATTTCATTTACTCATGTACTGGAACTACATAAATTGTGCGGACTCGAGGAGAGTTTCTGCTTTCTATACTAATGTTTGGGGTCAACATATTTTTTCTTCTCTTTACTTATGAACAAAGTTCATCTTGAGGCTCAAAACATCTCAATATCACCATATCATTAAAGGTCTCTTTAAAAAAAGATCATACCGTATATCATCACATACAGGACAAATGTGCAGATAAGCCCCACATGGACTTGGCAGTCAAAATTTTTGTATAAATCATAATATGTTCATTAGATAAGACGCACAAACTTTTTCATGGCAAGCAACATCACTTAAAACTTGCCCATTTGATAAATTATAGAACGCCAAACTAAAAAGAACTGATGCATGTACGGAATAACAGCTCCTCATTGTCACCATTCAAAAGGTCTCTGATCTTATTATTATTCATCTCAACTGCATCATCCCTGTCATGTAAGTCACATAATTTGGGAATTTGTTCGCTGGGTCAGCTCCCACCAGTTTTTGGATCTAATTTCTCATGGATAAGATACTGGGCGACTTTGAAACCCTGGTTTTTGGGTAAAAAGTTGCATCCTATACATGATGATATACAGTAACTCATAACTGATGGAAGTACATTTTTGTAATTTGTGAACATAAAAGTAAATGAATAATGTGAAACAAAAATGTTTTGAATGTCCATACACAAGAGATTTGGCCATGTGACACAATCAACTATTTTGAAGGATATAAAATTAATATTCCAAAAGCATTTGATGGGCACATCATGTACACCATTACAACGAGGTTTCTTTGATGCCCTCGAAAGCAAACAAAATATGTGTACCTAAGAGATAAAGGTTTAAAAAAATAATAACAGCAATCAATACATGCACAAACGTCATTACATTCATTATATTGCACTCAACACAGGAACTTCCACACCACTCTATCCATAATGACAAATCAAGTGAATTGAGGCGTTGATAAATAGATAAGTTATCATTACTGTTTCACGGAGAAATCAAGTATAATCAAATAAGGCATCTAAAAAGATGACTGTCAGTAAATTTAACAACAAATGAAATTAAAAACAGGTATTTAGGGGGTGCTTTTCCATGAAAGACAACTTGGTTTCTCTCAATGACTGCAGACAGCTATATTTACAGTGAATCAAAGAAATATAAAGTTAAATCAAAACCACTCAATGAAACAGAAATTTGAAACAAAAGTATTTTTTTTTAGCACCATAGCACTTTCAAGGTATGCATTCTGATCTAATTTTTAAAATAAAAAAAATATTGCAGTCAGTTCACTATCCGTTATCCAGACTCTGATGTCTTCATTTAGCAGCACTCTTCGAGATGCCAGAACTTGAAGCATTATGGGAACTATTATATTAAATGGAAACTGTCTAGATTTTGCTCAAGAAGGCTGTAAAAATTTATTTAAAATTTATGATCACGGAAAAGTCCATTTCTTCAGACAGAACGCAACATGAACTTCTGGCTCAATGATTTTGAAACATGATTCACCTTGGTCATTCACCTGAAATGAACAAAGAAAAAAGAATACATTATTATCTCCAAAGAATTCTTAAAGGAGAAAAGCGGGGTCTTGGGTTGGGAGGGAGATCAAATCATCAACAAAGGGAAATATGATGTGCAACTCTTTGGACAATGTGTAGCATGTGGACAAAATTTATTCATGCACACTTACAATCACGAAACAAAAGAAAGCAGGAAAATTTCTTGAAAAAAATGCTTCTTCACCTCAGGAAAAGACTGAACAATAATGCCAGACACACTTAAACATAACGTCACTTACAGTATGTGACAGAAATTTTATAAATATTAGAGCACAAGACAAATCTTGTTATTTATATTCAATACCATACATATTATAACAGTGCACATACTCCAACAAGAACAACTAATAACAGGGGCTCGTGTTGTCTAGAAGTATGGTGTTTGCCTCTCATTTAAAAGGTACCAGGTTTAAAACTTGATAGCGACGAACACATTTTTTTCTCTAAAATTTACTTCTTTCACATTCCCTGGTCCTGTTCTTTCATCTGCTTTCATCTCCAACCACCACCCCTCCTCCCCTTTTACCCCCTACAGTCTCCTCTTTTTAAAAACTTTCCACTCTTTCTACTGCTATTCCTTGCTCCTTCTTACTGCTATCTTTTAGACACACTCCTGATCTTAGGGTAGGTAAGATCAAACACCTTGAGAAAAGGAGAGAGAGAGGGAGGGGGAGGGAGAAAGAGAGAGAAACAGAGAGAGAGAAAGAGAGAGAGAGAGAGAGAGAGAGAGAGAGAGAGAGAGAGAGAGAGAGAGAAGGGGGAGGGTTTGGTATGAAGTATTGAATTAGTGTAGGCCAATGACCTCCCCACGGGCCTAAGCTGAGGGCAATAGTGTAGGACAAGGACGTGTTTATTAGATACGTCACAGAAGTATTCAGTGGCACAGATTACACACTATGTAACAGCTCGCTAGGGTTCTGCAGGGTAAGGTCTGGGTGAAATTGTAGTGGAGAGTGGACCATGGCAGAACAAATGAAGGACAAAGGCTTATTGGTAAAGGAAAAACAGCTGCTCCATATACAGGTGTACAAAAAATCAATGTAATATATGTAAACCCCCCCCCCTCTAATCTGCATATTTAAATGACTGTGAACCCAACAGGCATAGTAGTGTAATATAACGGGCATAATTTATGTAAAATTTTGACCCAATCGTCCAACTTTGTTATCTCCCTTGGTTTCGTCTGAAATTTGTACATATATAGCAATCAAAAGAATTGCAGTTTCCGATCGATGTCGCAATGTGGGTGCTAAACTGTACTTGCATTCGGTGTGCATATTATAATACTTACTTTTCCTGTAGGCGTATTCTAAAGCACTAGAAATGGTCCTCATGTCTGTCTCAATACTCCTCGCCCAGTTTTCAACATCACCAATTTCCTGAAAACAAAAGAATATATAATGTCTTATCATTTGGACTCACGAAAACTTATCGTAAATAATGAAATCACATCACATCGAAAAAAAAACTGTTCACAACTTAAGTTCTGTTGAAAAATCCCATGCCCTAAAAATACATAATTTTTCTTCTCTTCGTTAAGTTAAAGGATGCAATACAAAATCCATATATGTATGTAATCAAACACCAAAGTCCTGAAAAATTTAAACCCTTTTCCAAATTGTTCCTGCTTTTCAAAGTGGGCCAACTATGAGTCAGTCAGATTCATGCTATATCACAGAGGGGATGACCTTGGTTTGAATATCAACTGCAGCATTCTTGAACTTCTACTTCTGGAGTTGTGAATGCTCTGAAACCTTTGGCTTGGTTTTTACCACAGATGAATGTTACTTTCAGAGGTAAAAACTCTTAAATAACCCGACAAACTTTCACCATACAGAATTTTTCTCTCCTCAAATTCAAAACTCTTGAAAGGAGTTTGAGAGATCTAAAAAAATATAAAGTTGAGTCAAAACTATCATATTCCCAATACCAAATCTATGTTCAGTACTTCACTATCTGGTTAGTTTTGTCGCTTTTTGGGCCCACATTTAACATAAAACTACACAACTTTATGGATGGTAATGCATGTAATTTTGCAGGTTACACACACAAAAAAGGATATAATTCAAGGAACTTATAATACAGATTTTACGTCACTCCCCTGTTCAAAACATAATTTTACCTTTAAAGCAGTGTTAAAATCCTCCACTAGTTTGAGCCATTGCATGGTCTGCTTTGAGAACTGAGCAGCGTTGGCCTGAAGAATGCGGGTCTCCGTATCCAGTTTCTTCTGGTTAACGTATGCTTGAGCTACTCTGTGGTACAGAGATGATGACAACATGGTCAGATTAGAACCAGTATGGAAAGAGTAGTGCAAAAAAAAGATGACAAATTTAATGACGGTACAAGAGGAAGTTAAAAGCGAGTCCATGGAGAATTTTCCTCAGAAATTAACATTTTACAGTGAAATGTCAAGGCAAGTAAGCTGACTCTCATTCTCATCTTTGAATTAGTATAATCCACTACACTGAAAGAAGCATGCATTAACCCAGTTAGTTGTACGTACAACATAGAGCTCTTATCATCACAGCCTCTTGGGCATCAATGACATTCTTAAATAGTCTTCACTGATCTTTATGATTGATAGTCCCTTCAATCTGACAAAACATACATTTTTTTGTCTCTATACTAGACTCAGTCAAGTACATGTGTGTGACTTTTTGTTTACATACACACTATAACAAAAACACAGTAGATATGGTATATATTATTTAACTTACTTCCTCTCCAAGTCAAACGGGAGAGAAATTATCTTACGGTACTTTTACTTTTAAAACAGAGGCATGTATGAGCATATCTGCACATATGTGTATGTTCCCAACACAAAATCTACCTAGAGAGTGGCAGGACATCATTAAAATTGTTGTTGTGTGCAACAAATAAAGGATGGTATTTCAAAAATGTCAGTAACAGTATCTGGATACCATAATCCTTTGTCCATTCATTTTACTGACAGAGGATCGTGATCTTTCACATTTCATTAACATCTCAAGCAAAACATTCAACAGCCCTCAAACTCTGTAATAGAGCAAATTTTGTACCATAATGAACTGTAACAAATGTTGGCTCCTCATGAATAAATCTGATGGGAAATTAGTTTTTATTAAAGCCTGAAAACAGACTTTAAAACTAAAGCATAGTTTTTTTGGCATGCACTATTCAACTTTCAATCCATACCCCCCCCGCCAATTATTATTGAACTTTACTTTACTTTTCCGATCCATCGGCCATCTGGGTTCTAGTCCTTCGACCTGTTGATAAGGCAAAGAATTTCCAATTTTTTATCAGCTGTATTTTGTCGCTGTATAAAGTATTTCCAATATCCTGGAAGGCAGGTAGGCAGTCGCTTTGCAGGTCGCTAAGTGTAGGACACGTAAAGAAATGGTGGGATACTAACTGTTTCATCCTGACAATCACACAACCGGCTGTCAGGTTGGGTATCTTTGCGGATCGTATTTCGGTACAAATTCAGAGGGGTGTGTTGTGTTCGCAGGCGAAAGACAGTGACTTGTTCTCTTCTACTGAGGGAATATAGTGCTTCTTTTGAGTTGGGAGCAGACATGTTTGAAGACACTTTTTTACTGAAAAGAAAATTTTAAAAATACAATTCCTTACCCAGCATTTAAATGGTCAACAAGCACATGGGAGAGGGCTGTTGCAGCAACTATGGCATCTCTCTTCCGCTTCTCTGAAAAACAACCAAAAAAAAAAAAGGTAAAATTTTGAAGAACAGGCAAGGAACGCTTGGTGGCCCAACCATCCAACCCCACTACATGAGTCATTTTCAGTGGCGGTGGGTGAACCAAAATTTAGGTGGGGCTTTGGTTGCTTCCACTTTGTTACCACAAAATAGTAAGCAATACGTGTCAGAACAAAACAATGATGATTTTTCAATACTCACGGCGAGCCACGGCATTTTGCCCCCCCCCCCCCCTTTTGCCCATTATTTTTGTTTTGCAAGGTAACATAACATTTTTCTCGTAAACCACTGATTTGCGGCACTTTTCATTGCCATATTCGTTTTCAGGGCATTCTCCGGGAGAAGTAGTCCCGATCTAGCTCCATAGACATTTATACATTATTTACACACTCCGAAACAAAAACTGAAGTCGCATTTAAAAAAAAGGGGGTGCAGGGGGGTCTCCTCATTGCTAAATTCACAAAAATAATGGCTTGTAATAGTTTTAAGAGCCAAGGTTGTTCTCAGCACACTAAAAAACGTTAAAAGAGTGCCAAAAATAGTATAAAATGGGTTTGAACCTTTTCTATAAATTTACCAGTATTTTTTTACTTTCCCTCCCGTCTCACACTCAGCTACCAGTTGTCTATTTTCTACTAAATATTGATGCGCAGAACACGAATATCAACTTCATTTCCGTCGCAAATTAATAGTTTTTGAAATATTTGATTGTTTTTTTCAACCGAGATAGACGTGCTTTGGACCAATCGGGGGGTACCAGGGGGGCCTGCCCCACTGGGGTAAATGAAAATCTGGGGGGTTACAGGGGGGCATGCCCCCCTGTTTTTACCCATAATTTGATATTTTACAGTTAGATTTGAAATTGTCTTGAAAATAATTGATTTGCGACAGTTTTAGTGGCTTTATGTGTGATCTGCAGCAAACAGTACTGCAGTTTGACCCCTGAAACAGTGCATCTGTGTGCGGGAGTGAAAGTAAAAATTTACCAATTTACCGATGGCCTTTTCACCCTGGCAACCCAGTAAGCATTTTTACTCAACTTCCGTTTTTGTTTCCGATTTTGTGTATATATATGAATGTCTGTCTATGGAGTAGTAATGGAGTTAGGCCGGGACCACTTCTCCCGAAGAGTGCCGTTTTCAGCACCCAAAAAACACGAGTCAGGTCACCAAAAACAGTGCTTTTGCAAGCGGGTGCATCCTTAAATTGGCCTTATACTTCAAAATATAAGACCCCTCTTCTACGCTCTTCTTTTACTTCTGATTTCTAACGTACACAACACAGTAACATACTAGATATAGATGAAATCTAGATCTAGATCAAGAGTCTAGATCTAGATAATAGATCTAGAGAGATCTAGATATAGAATCTAGATAAAGTTTTTCTATTGCTACACGCACCTTGCAGTTCTTTGCGAGCTTGTTGTCTTGCTTGATGCTGCTTCACCAGGTTCGACAACATTCTTCTTTTTCTACTTGTACAAGAACTGATTTTATTTTTCGTACTCTTGAAATAAGGATTGCAAAGGTCTGTTGTCTGACCATGTGAATATCCAAATTCTCTAAATTTTATTACATTGGCTGCTAAAAAAGGGCGTTCTTCGACGTTCGTGTGCGATAATATTGACTTCGTTGGCTGTGTTTATCTCGTGACTTCGATATTCGTTAAATATTTTTGTTAGTTCGGATTTTGAAACAGCAACCATAAACGTAAATAAGCGAAATTATGTAGATCTGTAAAACTTTTGCGGTTGTTATCGAGAATCACCTGATTTTAGCGACCACGCTAATGCCAAATAGAACATTATCAGTGCTCAGCATTACTTTTTAATTTCAGAAAGAAACAACAGATGCTCATTATGAAAATGCATATTAACAAAAACAAAATATTTAGAACTGCCTTCTTATAATATAGTTGTAAAAATTAGTTAAACATTTTGTGGAAAAAAAAACATTCCTTTTTTTTGGCCTCGCTTCCTTCTAAACTCTATTCAGAAGCATAGTGCACCTGGCAAGATACGGAAACATCACATCAAGCCATGGCGGCCTGTCGCGTCGTGCCCAGAATGGAGTTCTTATTGTTGTATATTTTCTCTTTTGTTATTGTTGTAGAAGGCATCAATTATGACCCAAGATTTTCATTGATTAAAAAAGGACAAGATGGCAGTTACTTTGGTTTTTCTGTTGCTCAGCATCAGATTATGAGAGACAAGAACTCTGTTGAGGAGAATGTGTGAGTATCTTAGGCTACATTTTGTGACTGCTGGTGGTGACTGCTGGTCTGCTGTGTGTCTGTCATTGTGTTGTCGCAGGGTAAAAGGTGGACTGTGAAGGGTGCATTAACAGCGTATTGATTGATGACCAAAGGTGAGAGCTATGCTCATTCACCAGTTACGATTTCAACTGTGGAAAGATGCCGCATGGTCCCCTCTATAAACATTTCTTTTTTTCTTTTTTTGAAATTCATAAATCACTTGCTGTGTGACTGTGCGTGTGAGTTGCTAGAAGTTTTAGTTTTAGTATAGTACACTACTACAATACTATTAAATCTGTTATTGTTATAGTAGCAGATATTAGTCTTTAATTTAGCTTTATTAAATAGGGATAGGCAGTTTGGGAGTTTCATTCCAGCCCATGGTCAGTTCAGTAGTACCACTTTTTAAAGTTAAAGTGTACACTATGTATGTCATGTGTAATATATAATTATATTTTTGTGTTATAATTGATAGGCCTACTTTAAAAACCCCGACATAAAAACAACTCTAAATCTAGATCTAGATCTAGTGATGAAAGTGAAAGCATTATAATTGCTTGGAGCGGGGGGAGGGGGTAGCCCTCTCGTCCCCAACCCCTCCCCCAAAGTCAAAGCTAGTCTCATGGAAATCATTGTAATGGTTTAGGTGCCGTGCAGTGTTTAAGAAATGCTTTCAAGCGGTTCCAAGTAACCAAATGTGTGTATCTTTCTTGTGACCAGAAGTTATTTTATTATAGAGGGTAGCCTACTTTAAAAAAATCTGAAACAGACATGTTTGGTTTTGAATTAAACTCGGGCCCCTTGGGCTATGGGTGAACCAAAATTTTGGTGGGGGCTAATGTTGTTTCCACTTTTTAATTTTTTACCACCAAATAGCAAGCAGTAAGACCTAAACAGTACTGATTTTTCTATACTCACAGTGAGCCACGTCATTTTGAGAACCATTCAAACAAGAAAAGTCACCTATGTCTTCCATCTCTTTGTTCTAAGTTAGATTCTTCTGGATGAAGAAGTTGCCTTAAAAGTGATTCAACGTGATTACTGTTAATTTATATATCTCAGCGGCACAAGTACAAACATGCACACACTGCACTTCAAACATATTCTGTCTATGTGCTGGATTAGGCCGTGTAGTCGATGAAAGTAGAAAATGCACCTCTAACAAAGGTCCAATGAGCGCAAGGCATCTCTGTGTTATAGGGGGAAAGTGTTTCGTAACCTTTCACCCCATTATCAGGGCTTGGAGAGCGTGAGCCCTCAGTACAGTGTTCTTTTTTTCCCAATATTTTACCTTTTTAGAGTTTTATGAAATGGGCTCACCCTTTGCTGAGCCCTAAAAATATTTGATTGGGTGTTAGGTTACTCTAGTTGTAAGCAGTAACAACAGTGATTGGACAACGAGCAAGCCGCCAAGTTGATCACTCTGTGAACATTGCATGCGATTGTAACGGTTTCAGCTGCTTATTTCGTTACTTAGGAAACTTTCATTTACTTTTGGATAGAGTTGGGGGCTCAAGCCCTGAGCCCCACACTACCCACATCCACTGCCTTGGGCTGCCTGTATAATAATAAAATGTATGGTTGGCATTATTCTGTCTCTGTCTTAAAGTCTGCAGTGTAGACAAGCCTACAGTCAAGGCTTAATTTTCTGGACTTTCTTGAGGCTTTAAGAATGTCCTGACACTCTTTTTATCCTGGTGCTGATTATAAAATTGGAAAGGGATTGATTTATGAAACACACACAGAGTCGACATTGTGATGTTGCCCAAGATGGCCACCCATTGTTAACTTGGACAAAAGTAATTAATTGTCTTACACACAGATGAATGTTTTTGATAGTGTCAAAATTTAAAAAAACATGGGGATGAGGTGGGGGGGGGGGGGGGGGGGATTGTTGTCATTTGTATATTGCTTGTCTTAGGAAGATGCTTTATGGACAGGTTTGACTGTATTTGATCAGTAAATTGAATTATTTTAAAAGTAAAAGGTAACTGATCTGCCTGACATTATATATATGTGCTAGTAAACAGGTCTGTATTTGGCTTCTGATCTAGTATCAAAATAATTATAAAGTAAGTAAAGGTCAGGCCTTGATCAGCATTTGGCACGGCAGTAAAGGCAAAAATTATAAAGATAACCAGTACTCTCTCAAAATCAGTATTTTGTATTGAAAGTAAATTTAAAATCAACATTTAAATGCCATCTTAAATTTAAATCATGTGGACATATAGATGGTATTTATAATGTGTAAGCATTTGCAACTTCCATTTCTTTTTCTTTCTTTATAATTCAGCTCAGATCTTTCACCATTCTCAACTATGCTGGTAGGAGTTGAAACTCAAAGAGAATTGCACTCTCCCTGAGTGGCTCTTCATTTTGAAGCCTAGGCCTATGTCTTGAAAATGGATGTTTTATTTTGTTTTTGAATTCTTTTGGTATTTTTCCAACATCTCTTGGGTTCTGTAACCTCTTGTTTTATACTTTGACTTTTGACTGAGATTTTCCTTCAAACTGTATTTCTTGTCTCTAGTGAAAACACGCTTAGGCTTTTTTTTTCGGTCATATTTATTGTTTTGAGTAAAGATCTTCCTTGAAGCAGAAGAGAGAACTTTGTCTGACAAATATTTGAATTTCTTTGTCATTTAAATAAATAATCTTTGTCTTTTCTTTGAATTGTCATTATGAATTATAACATACAGACACACAGTTTGTCATGATTTTATTGATTTATTGTTCATTCACTTTTGTCTGATATAAAACTATTTTACTGATACTTTTGTGTAAGTATCTGACCACTCTCGAGCATCCTTGAGGTCCTCAGTTGAGTGGGGTTCAAGTGTTTGGTTTCTTGATATGAGGGAGACAATCAAAGGGACAGACTGTATTGACACCAAGCTGAGAGGAAGAAAGGAAATAAGAAGTGCTCTTTGTAATTTGTAAGATGGGAAGAGGTTTTTCTTCCTGTTTGCTCTCTTTAATCGATCTCTGTTTCATATAGAGTCTGATTATTTTGAGAGCTTACGGTTTTTCTTTTCCCCCCCAAAGGTCATCACTCCTCGCTGCCCTCCTCGATTTGTAGTTGATGTTGGCGGTTAGAAATTACATTTCCTCTTTCTTGGAAAACATTAAAACAACATGAGCTTGTTGGGGGGTAGACAGAGGGCGGCATTTGACATTGTTCCTGTCATAAGGAACATCATAAAAGTCTCCTCGGACAGAGAAAAAAACCTGATACCCATGGAATTCTGCCCTTTGCTCTTGTGTAGGGCAACGCTCGGGGGCTTACTTATTAATCACTTATGGGGGCCTCTTTTGCTCTTCCTCTGGTATGTTCAGCGGAAGAAATGGCGCGCATCTGGAAATCATAGAGTATTAAGTGGAATGTTGGAGAACTCCGGGATCGGGCTTACGGGAGACAGGGGAGTGGCGGGCGCCCCCGGTGTCTGTAATGTATCCCAGTCCCAGGTACCACATGTGGGAACTATATTGTTTTAAGTGTTTTGTTGTTAAGACAATTTCCAGGAGTTTTTTTTCTTTGGCTTTTTCCCTTGAGCACTTAAAAGTTGGCATGCCCTGGTGTATTTTTTTTTCTGTGCCCAATACCTGTGCGTAGATGTTGTTCACGTGTGCGATGCTAGATGCTGAGCTTATCATAAGTAGTACATGTGTTAGCATGTATTCTTCCATCACGCGCACTATTATTTTGCCGGTAGAATTGGCTCAGCCTTGTATTTGATCAAAGTGCGCGATCTGCATGAGGTGGTGATTAACGTAAAATGTTGAATTATTTTTCATAGAAGTAACGGTGATGGAAGAAATAATGGTGCGTGTAGTCGCTTTTGTAACGGTGCTGTTGTTGCTCGAAAAAGCTGTAACATGTTTGACCGCGTGGCGAGTTCGTGTGTGTGTGAGTGAGTGAGTGAGTGTGTAGTTGCGCGCGCGCGCGCGTGTGTGTGTGTGTGTGTGTGTGTGTGTGTGTGTGTGTGTGTGTGTACGCGCGCGTTCTGATGCGTAGTATCAAGATGCCTTCTTTTGTATTATAAAGTTCACGTGGCTTCCTCGAAATTAAAAAAAAAAATTATTAGGAAAAAAAAACCCCGCTAAGAAGAAAGGTAACGTGCTGTATTGTGTAGCCTACAGTCAGCGTTCCAGCGAGAGGAGCTTTGTCTGTCGGAGGTGTTCGTGTGCCTGTTCCACGCCGGGAGAGAGGCTCGCTGTGACGGTGTCAACTCGTATCGCGGTTAGGGCGCCGGTAATTGCCACCTTTGTCTCAGCCTCGGGGGGAGGCTGGTCCCGCGCCAGGTCAACGGCGGAGGAAAAGCCGCTGGGGGCTCCACAACGTTGGGGCTACACGTCAGGGCAACTGCTTTTTTTCTTCCTTTTTATTGGAGGAAGGAGTGGGGGGGGTTTCATCGTGGTCGAG